TTATTCCTTTATCATCATGTAATGACCTTTTTTTGTCTCTTATTACAGCCTTTGTTTTAAAGTCTATTTTGTCTGATAGAAGTATTGTTACCCCAACTTTCTTTTTATTTCCATCTGCATGGGATATCTTTGTCCATCCCTTCACTTTCATTCTGTGTGTCTTTAGATCTGACACGAGTCTATTGTAGGTATCACATATAGTCTTGTTTTTTTTTTTTTAAAGATTTTATTTATTTATTTGAGACAGAGAGAATGAGAGAGAGCGTGCACATGAGAGGGGGGAGGGTCAGAGGGAGAAGCAGACTCCCTGCCGAGCAGGGAGCCCGATGCGGGACTCGATCCAGGGACTCCGGGATCATGACCTGAGCCGAAGGCAGTTGCTTAACCAACTGAGCCACCCAGGTGCCCTATAGTCTTGTTTTTATTTGTCCATTTAAACACCCTATGTCTTTTGATTGGAGAATTCAGTCTATTTATATATTTAAATTATTGGTAGATATAGACTTACTGCCATTCTATTGATTGTTTTCTTATTGTTTTTGTAGTTCTGTTTCCTTCTTCTCTTGCTGTCTTCTGTTGGTGTTTTGTGACCTCCCTTAGTGTTATGTTTAAGTTCCTTTCTCTTTATTTTTTGTGTAACTATTATTGATATTTGTTTGTGTTTACCATGAGCTTCATATGTAATATCCTATGTATATTGCAGTCTGTTTTAAGTTGATGGTTGCTTAAGTTCAAATGTGTTCCCAAAGTGCTACATTTATACTTCCCCTATGTTTGGTTTTTGATATCATATTTGACATCTTATTTTGTGTATACCTTGACTAATTATTATAGGTAGATGATTGTCTACTTTTGTCTTTCAACCTTCGTACTAGTTACATAGGTGGTTGACCCGCTGCCTTTACTATATGTTTATTGTACCAGTGAGATTCATTTCATTCATAATTTTCTTACTTCTAGTTATGGCCTCTTCTATTCAATTGAAAGAACTCCCTTAACATTTCTTGTGTGACCTGTCTGGTGTTGATGAACTCCTCTAGCTTTGCTGGTCTGAGAAACTCCTCATCTCTCCTTAAATTCTGAGTGATAACCTTGATGGGTACCATATTTTTTACTGTAAGTATTCCTTTCATTAATTTTAATATATCATGCTACTCCCTTCTGGCCTGTAAAGTTTTTGCTGAAAAACCAGCTGATAATCCTATGGGGGTTCCCTTATACGTAACTAGTAGTTTTTCTCTTGCTGTTTTTAAGATTCTCTGTTGACCTTTAAATGTTGACACTGTGATATAATGTGTCTTTGCTCTCTTTGGGTCCATCTTATTTGAGACTCTGTGCTTCCTGAACTTGGATCTCCTTCACCAGGTTAGGTACATTTTCAGACATTATTTCTTCAGATATGTTTCCTGATCCTTTCTCTTTCTCTTCTCCTTCTGGGGCACCTATAATATGAATGCTAGTATGCTTGATGTTACCCTAGAAGTTCCTTAAAATAACCTCAAATTTTTAAATCCTTTTTTTTTCTTTTTGTTTCTCTGGGCACTTTTCACTATCCAGTCTTCTATATTGCTTATCCAGTCTTCTGCATCATCTAATCTGCTGTTGATTACCTCTAGTGTATTTTTTTTTATTTCATTATTGCATTTTTCAGCTTGATTGGTTCTTTTTTTATATTGTCTATGTCTTTGTTGAAGTTTTCACTGTGATCATTCTTCTTATGATTTGGTGACCACCTTTATGACCATTACTTTGAACTTTATCTCCATTTCATTCTTTTTCTCAGGTTTCATCTTATTCTTTCATTTGCAACCTCTGGTGCCTCATTTTCCTTCTTTCTGTGTGTTTCTATGTACTAGGTAGTTATTTCTTGAAGGAGTGGTTTCAAGAAGAAGGTGATCCTGTAGGGTCCAGTAGTGCAAACCCACCTGGACACCAAAGCCGGGTGCCCCAGGACTGCCCCCTATATGGGCTGTGTGCATTCTCCTGTTCTGGCTAGGCTATGACTGCTACAGACTTTCTGGTGAGTGGGGCTGTCTCTCAGTGCACCTGTGAGGGACAGCCACAACTGCTACAGGCACACCAGTGATTAGGGCTGGCCCTTGGGCCCACCTGAGAGTCCAGGCCATGACTCTTGCAGGCCTGTCTGTGGCTGGATCCCCAGTTTGAGGCCCTTAGGAGGGGCTCTAGTGCTGGCTGATGGCACCCACTTGATATGGCAGGATGGGGGTTGCTTGGATGGGGCTCGTGTACTGGCCAAGGGTGCATACCAGGAATGGCAGGGTGGGCGGCACTGTATTGCACATTTGAAAGTTGCTAAGAGATTAGATCTTAAAAGTTCTTATCACAAGAAAAGAAAGGACATATGTTATTCTTTATGGTGACAAATGTTAACTAGTTTTCTGTCCCTTTGACTCTTTCTCTCCTTCTGGGATCCCTGTAATATGAATATTGGTCTGCTTAATTTGTCCAGTAAGCCCCTTATTTATCTTCATTTTTATTATTTTGTTTTTCTTTTTGCTGCTCTGCTTGAGTTCCACTACACTGTTCTTGAGTTCACTGATATTTTCTTGTTGTTCATCTAGTCTGCTGTTGAATCCCTCTATTGAATTTTCAGTTCTGTTATTTTATTCTTCAGTTCTATGGCTTCTACTTGGTACTTTCTTATATTTTATAACTCTTTGTTGATGTTCTCATCTTGTTCATTCATTCTTTTCCTGAGCTTGGTGAGCATCTTTATGACTATTATTTCAAATTTTTTAGGTAGATTACTTACCTCTGTATCATTAAGGTCCTTTTCTGATGTTTCGCCACCTTCTTTTGCTTGGAACACATTCCTCTGTCTCTTCATTTTGTTTTATTCTATCCAATGCTATGTATTAGATAAAACAGCCATTTTGAAGGGTGGCCTCACATAGGAGAGGAATCTTGCCATTCAACCTTGTCTAACTCTTGGTTTTCTCTCAAACTCTTGTGATTGTCCAAGCAGCATATTTTAGTTTTTGGCTCCAAGTGGTGAAGGATGTACCAAGACCTTTTATTGTCCCAAAGAGGAGGATCTCAATCAGCACCTAGGTTAGGGTGATTGGAAGACAGACCCTCAAGTAACAGATTTTAAAGTATGAAAATACACACAGTGCTAGGGGACCACAAACATACATCCTGATGGCCAACAGAGCCAGGAGATACAGAGGTATCCACTGTGCAGCATTTTCAAAAATTGGGGCACCAGATGATTGTAAAAGTTCCTTTCCCTGAGATCCCAGAGATGTTGTGAGGCAGAGCAAGGGCACAAAATGGCATAGACTCCATTTCCAGAGTTCACCTTAGTAGGGCTCTAGAGGTATCCCAAACCACAAGCCTGACCCTCATGCAGAAGCTCCAGGATGAGCAAATAGGCCATTTCACAGAAAGTCTGGGTTTGTGTTTCAGTCTGTTGTCTGTGCAGTACCAGGGAAGCAGTAGCTGGCCAATAACTGTCTCTCCATTTGTTACAGTTCCATGAGACCCAGGAATACAAATGTTTCTGGCCACCAGAGCCAGGTGATCAAGGGTTGCCTTTTGGGTAGCAGCCACAGAAAGTGGTATGCCAGACAACTCTAAAAGCTCCTCTGTGGAAGAGATTGACATTCTAGAGTACAACAGATGGAGAGAGCCAAATTAGCACCTGCTATCTTAAAAGTTGGGGTGTCCAGTGAGGGTTCAAACCCTTTATTCCTCAAGGAGAAACTCCTGATTTCAGTTCCCTCCCAATTGTGGGTTGGCATGGGAGGGGTGGGAATTACAGAAAGATGTAACATTGTGTCTTAGCCTCCCCTACCCACTCTGATATGGGCTTTTTCTCATTTGTCCAATATGTAGGAGTCCTTGGCTAACTTTTATATTTTTTTAGAGGAAAATGTTCCATACATAGCTGTGGATTTGTTGTGTCTGTGGGAGGACATGAGTTCAGATTCTTCCTATGTTGCCTTCTTGATCCAGAACCCCTACCTACAAATAATTCTTGACATCTCCTTTTCTCTCAGTCTTAAGAAACTGTTATTGATTATTGTGAAATTTGTCATTTCCCAAAATCACTATATTATAGTTCTCCCTGATATATTTTAAATTTATTTTACAAGATAATTTTTATTATCCATACTGAATGAACCAATTAAGAATATATTTCATTTCATTTATTATAAAATCCCAATTCCCACATCATGAATGCATGATCAGGGTCTTTCCTACATTCCTATATCATATCCTGGACTTCTTCCCCTGACTAATTCTTTAGTCTCACTCTATGTTACTTCTTTTTCTTATGTCTAAAACATTCTTCCTTATAGTCCCAGTTTTGTTTTGTTTTTTTTTTTCTTTTTTATCCTCCCTGCAACTTCCTTATTTCAGTCTGTGAAGCTTTTCAAGCTTGTTGTTATCCAAGCATTACTTCACTTAGTTTCACTGAAAAGTTTTCATTGAACTCTTTAATAACCAGATTCGTGCCTTCTCTTTCAGATCCCAACATAATTATCTCCATAATTATTCCTAGACCACTTTATCAGAAAGTTTTTCCTCCCCATATTTTCCCTATTCATTTTCTTCTTGGCTATCATAAACTGTTTAGATTTTGTTTGTTCTTATGTCCACTTTTTAATTTTCTGTCCCTGATGGACTAATATATTTAGAACTTATCTATCTTGTTAATCATTTGTAAATCAAACTAACACAATAACCAGGACACAGTAGATACTCATTAAAAATCTAGGGATGAATTAATAAATTTTACCCAGAAAGTCATCATCAACATCCACCTTCTCGCTACACTATCACATAGAATATAGAATGAATAAGCACATTTTCTACACTATCAAATACTCTCTTCCTTTAATAAACATTAAATAAGTGCATGTTTATTTAATAAAAATATTCTTAATCAGGTTTTACTGAAAGAGATTATACATTAAAAAATACTACAACATTTCCCAAGAGAAGATATAGATTTGACAAAAATAAAACCTTACATTGCTTTGGTGTTCATTATGCATGTAGTTCCTGGGCAGTAACAAGTGAAGATGTCATCATTATATGTTAATCCCAGACTAACTCCAAGCAACTGTGTCATAACAACTGAAAATGCCTCTAACGTTATCATCTGTGGATACTAAAAAGAAAAAAAAAAAAATCAGAATTGTTATCTAAGTTGTTTCTTGTTTTTTATCTTTTCAAGTAAATGCAAATACACTTTTTAAAAAAAGAACCAATATACCAAAGCTTATTATTTGCTTAAAAATATGGAAAAATAGGTAAATTTTGTTATTATCTTTGAGTAATAGCATTTTTAGTCCAAATGGCATTGAGAAATAACAATTAAGATAAATGTAGTCTCATGATTTTAAGACATTACTGATTGAAATCCTATTTTTTATTTTTAAATTTGTTTTTAATTTATTTTTATTATTTATTTATTTATTTATTTATTTGAGAGAGAACCAACATGGGGCTCGATCTCATGACCCTGAGATCATGACCTGAGCCAAAAATCAGAGTTGAACCCTTAATTGACCGAGCCACCCAGGTGCCCCTAAATTCTTTTTAAATTAGTAAGAATAAGCATTGCTTCAGTAATTATATTACTTTTCAAATGAACACTCAGAAAAAAATACATAGATTCTTAAAGGTTGACTTGGCAATTACTTTTGATTTCAGAAATAGTTTTAGGGGGAAAATCAAATTAACTTCTTTCTAAAGGCAGAATACTAGAACATCTGGCAAGTAGCATTTCTTTCTTTACTTTTTTTTTTTTTTTTTTTTACCGGGCTATACATTTTTATTTCTCATTTTCTTTTTTTTTAAATTTTATTATGTTATGTTAATCACCATACATTACATCATTAGTTTTTGATGTAGTGTTCCATGATTCATGGTTTGTGTATAACACCAAGTGCCCATGCAATAAACGCCCTCTTTAATACCCATCACCAGGCTAACCCATCTCCCCAACCCCCTCCCCTCTAAAACCCTCAGTTTGTTTTTCAGAGTCCATAGTCTCTCATGGTTTGTCTCCCCCTCCAATTTCCCCCCCTTCATTTTTCCCTTCCTACTATCTTCTTTTTTTTTTTAACATATACTATATTATCTGTTTCAGAGGTACATGTCTGTGATTCAACAATTTTACACAATTCACAGCACTCACCATAGCACATACCCTCCCCAATGTCTATCACCCACCACCCAATCCCTCCCACCCCCACCACTCCAGCAACCCTCAGTTTGTTTCCTGAGATCAAGAATTCCTCATATCAGTGGGGTCATATGATACATGTCTTTCTCTGATTGACTTATTTCGCTCAGCATAACACCCTCCAGTTCCATCCACGTCATTGCAAATGGCAAGATCTCATTCCTTTTGATGGCTGCATAATATTCCATTGTATATATGTACCACCTCTCCTTTATCCATTCATCTGTCGATGGACATCTTGGTTCTTTCCACAGTTTGGCTATTGTGGACATTGTTGCTATAAACATCGGGGTGCATGTACCCCTTTGGATCCCTACATTTGTATCTTTGGGGTAAATACCCAGTAGTGCAATTGCTGGATCATATGGTAGCTCTATTTTCAACTTTTTGAGGAACCTCCATACAGTTTTCCAGAGTGGCTGCACCAGCTTGCATTCCCACCAACAGTGTAGGAGGGTTCCCCTTTCTCTGCATCCCCACCAACATCTGTCCTTTCCTGACTTGTTAATTTTAGCCATTCTGACTGGTGTGAGGTGGTATCTCATTGAGGTTTTGATTTGGATTTCCCTGATGCTGAGCGATATTGAGCACTTTTTCATGTGTCTGTTGGCCATTTGGATGTCTTCTTTGGAAAAATGTCTGTTCATGTCTTCTGCCCATTTCTTGATTGGATCATTTGTTCTTTGGGTGTTGAGTTTCATAAGTTCTTTATAGATTTTGGATACTAGCCTTTTATCTGATATGTCATTTGCAAAATATCTTCTCCCATTCTGTTGGTTGTCTTTTGGTTTTGTTGACTGTTTCTTTTGCTGTGCAAAAGTTTCTTATCTTGATGAAGTCCCAATAGTTCATTTTTGCCCTTCCTTCCCTTGCCTTTGGTCATGTTTCTAGGAAGAAGTTGCTGTGGCTGAGGTCGAAGAGGTTGCTGCCTGTGTTCTCCTTCAGGATTTTGATGGACTCCTGTCTCACACTGAGGTCTTTCAACCATTTGGAGTCTATTTTTGTGTGTGGTGTAAGGAAATGGTCCAGTTTCATTCTTCTGCATGTGGCTCTCCAATTTTCCCAGCACCATTTGTTGAAGAGACTGTCTTTGTTCCATTGGACATTCTTTCCTGCTTTGTCAAAGATGAGTTGACCATAGAGTTGAGGGTCCATTTCTGGGCTCTCTATTCTGTTCCATTGATCTATGTGTCTGTTTTTGTGCCAGTACCATGCTGTCTTGATGATGACAGCTTTGTAATAGAGCTTGAAGTCCGGAATTGTGATGCCGCCAGCTTTGCTTTTCTTTTTCAACATTCCTCTGGCTATGCGGGGTCTTTTCTGGTTCCATACAAATTTTAGGATTATTTGTTTCATTGCTTTGAAAAAAGTGGATGGTATTTTGAGAGGGATTGCATTGAATGTGTAGACTGCTCTAGGTAGCATTGACATCTTCACAATATTTGTTCTTCCAATCCATGAACATGGAACATTTTTCCATTTCTTTGTGTCTTCCTCAATTTCTTTCATGAGTATTTTATAGTTTTCTGAGTACAGATTCTTTGCCCCTTTGGTTAGATGTATTCCTAGGTATCTTATGGTTTTGGGTGCAATTGTAAATGGGATCAACTCCTTAATTTCTCTTTCTTCTTTCTTGTTGGTGAATAGGAATGCCACTGATTTCTGTGCATTGATTTTCTATCCTGCCACTTTACTGAGTTCCTGTATGAGTTCTAGCAGTTTTGAGGTGGAGTCTTTTGGGTTTTCCACATAAAGTATCATATTATCTGCAAAGAGTGAGAGTTTGACTTCTTCTTTGCCAATTCAGATGCTTTTATTTCTTTTTGTTGTCTGATAGCTGTGGCTAGGGCTTCTAATACTATGTCGAATAGCAGTGGTGATAGTGGACATCCTTGCCTGGTGATAAGGACCATCCCTTACAAGAAAGGATGCTGTACTTTGTCAAATGTGTTTTTTGCATCTATTGAGAGGATCATATGGTTCTCGTTCTTTCTTTTATTCATGTATTGTATCACATTGATTGATTTGCAGATTTTGAACCAAATTGGGAGCCCAGGAATAAATCCCATTTGGTCGTTCTGAATAATCCTTTTAATGTACTGTTGGATCCTATTGGCTAGTATTTTGGTGAGAATTTTTGCATCCATGTTTATCAGGGATATTGGTCTGTAGTTCTCCTTTTTGATGGGGTCTTTGTCTGGTTTGGGAATCAAGGTAATGGTGGCCTCATAAAACGAGTTGGGAAGTTTTCCTTCTAATTCTATATTTTGTAACAGTTTCAGAAGAATAGGTATTAATTCTTTAAATGTTTGGTAGAATTCCCTTGGGAAGCCATCTTGCCCTGAGCTCTTGTTTGTTGGGAGATTTTTGATGACTGCTTCAATTTCCTTAGTGGTTATAGGTTTGTTCAGGTTTTCTATTTCTTCCTGGTTCAGTTTTGGTAGTTGATACATCTCTAGAAATGCGTCCATTTCTTCCAGATTATCTAATTTCCTGGCACATAGTTGCTTAATATATGTTCTTATAATTGTTTGTATTTCTTTGGTGTTGGTTGTGATCTCTCCTCTTTCATTCACGATTTTAATTATTTGCATCCATTCTCTTTCTTTTTGATAAGTCTGGCCAGGGGTTTATCCATCTTGTTAATTCTTTCAAAGAATCAGCTCCTAGTTTTGTTGATCTGTTCTTTTGGTTTCTATTTCATTGATTTCTGCTCTGATCTTTATTATTTCTCTTCTCCTGCTGGGTTTAGGCTTTATTTGCTGTTCTTCTCTAGCTCCTTTAGGTGTAGGGTTAGGTTGTGTATTTGAGACCTTTCTTGTTTCTTGAGACAGGCTTGTATTGCTCTATACTTTCCTTTTAGGACCGCCTTTGCTGCATCCCAAAGATTTTGAACAGTTTTGTTTTCATTTTCATTGGTTTCCATTTTTTTTAATCCTTCTTTAATTTCCAGGTTCACCCATTCGTTCTTTAGTAGGATCCTCTTCAGCCTCCATGTATTTGAGTTCTCTCTGACTTTCCTCTCGTGATTGAGTTCTAGTTTCAAAGCATTGTAGTCTGAAAATAGGCAGGGAATGATCCCAATCTTTTGGTACTGGTTGAGACCTGATTTATGACCTAGGATGTGATCTATTCTGGAGAATGTTCCATGGGCACTAGAGAAGAATGTGTATTCTGTTGCTTTGGAATAGAATGTTCCGAATATGTCTGTGAAGTCCATTTGGTCCAGTGTGTCATTTAAAGTCTTTATTTCCTTGTTGATCTTTTGCTTAGACGATCTGTCCATTTCAGTGAGGGGGGGGGTGTTAAAGTCCCCTACTATTATTGTATTGTTGTCAATGTGTTTCTTTGCTTTTGTTATTAATTGGCCTATATATGTGGCTGCTCCCATGTTAGGGGCATAGATATTTACAATTGTTAGATCTTCTTGTTGGATAGACCCTTTAAGTAGGATATAGTGTCCTTCCTCTTCTCTTATTACAGTCTTTGATTTAAAATCTAATTTGTCTGATATAAGGATTGGCACCCCAGCTTTCTTTTGGTGTCCATTAGCATGGTAAATGGTTTGCCACGCCCTCACTTTCAAGCTGGGGGTGTCTTTGGGTCTAAAATGAGTCTCTTGCAGACAGTATATCGATGGGTCTTGTTTTTTTATCCAATCTGTTACCCTATGTCTTTTGATTGGGGTGTTTAGCCCATTTACATCAGGGTAACTATTGAAAGATATGAATTTAGTGCCATTGTATTGCCTGTAAGGTGACTGTTACTGTATATTGTCTGTGTTCCTTTCTGGTCTATGTTGCTCTTAGGCTCTCTCTTTGCTTAGAGGACCCCTTTCAATATTTCTTGTAGGGCTGGTTTCATGTTTGCAAATTCCTTTAGTTTTTGTTTGTCCTGGAAGCTTTTTATCTCTCCTTCTATTTTTCTGACAGCCTAGCTGGATATAGTATTCTTGGCTGTATATTTTTCTCATTTAGTTCTCCTAATATATCATGCCAGTCCTTTCTGGCCTGCCAGGTCTCTGTGGATAAGTCTGTTGCCAATCTAATGTTTCTACCATTGTACGTTACAGATCTCTTATCCTGAGCTGCTTTCAGGATTTTCTCTTTGTCTCTGAGACTCATAAGTTTTACTATTAGATGTCAGGGTGTTGACCCATTTTTATTGATTTTGAGGGCGGTTCTCTGTGCCTCCTGGATTTTGATGCCTGTTTCCTTCCCCAAATTAGGGAAGTTCTCTGCTATAATTTGCTCCAATATACCTTCTGCCCCTCTCTCTCTTTCTTCTTCTTCTGGGATTCCAATTATCCTAATATTGTTTTGTCTTATGGTATCACTTCTCTCTCGATTTCTGCCTCGTGATCCAGTAGTTGTTTATCTCTCTTTTTCTCAGCTTCTTTATTCTCCATCATTTGGTCTTCGATATCACCAATTCTCTCTTCTGCCTCATTTATCCTAGCAGTTAGAGCTTCCATTTTTTATTGCACCTCATTAATAGCCTTTTTGAGTTTAACTTGGTTAGATTTTAGTTCTTTTACTTCTCCAGAAAGGGTTTCTCTAATATCTTCCATGCTTTTTTCAAGCCCAGCTTGTGTATTTATAATCATCATTCTGAACTCTAGTTCTGACATCTTACTAATGCCCATATTGATTAGGTCCCTGGCAGTCGGTACTGGCTCTTGTTCTTTTTGTTGAGGTGATTTTTTTCATCTTGTGATTTTGTCCAGAGGAGAATAAATGAATGAGAGAACAAAATGCTAACAGGGTAGCAATGATCCCAGAAAAATATACACTAAACAAATCAGAAAAGACCTGAAACTGGGAGGAAAGAAAGGGAAAGAATGAAAAAAGAAAAAAAAAAAAAGAATATGATATAGATTCCTTTATATCTTCTAATGGCTTAATGGCTCACTTCTTAAATACCTGAATAAAATATTCCTTTATATGTATTTATTGCATTGTGTTTATCATTTCACTTATTAAAAGACATCTTGTTTCCTTCCAATTTTTGGTAATTACAAATAAAGCTGCTATAAATGTACATGATTTTGTGTGGATATGTTTTCAACTTATTTGGGTGACTGCCAAGAGGATAAATGCTGTATCATATGTTAAGAGTAAGAAGTTGCCAAACTGTCTTCTGCAGTGGCTGTACCATTTAGCATTCCCATCTTCATGAATGAGAGTTTCTGTTGCTCTACATCCTCACAGCATTTTGTGTTACCATTGTTTTGCACCTCCAGTACAAAGCTGAAAAGGACTGGCAAGTTACAGTCTTGCCTTGTTCCTGATCTCACTGGGAAAGCAGTTAGTTTCTCACCACTGAGGTGTTAGCTATAGGTTTTTTTCTAGATGTCCTTTCTCATGTTAAGGAAATTCCCTTCTAGATCTCCTTTCCTAAATTTCATCACAAATGGTGTTGGATTTGTCAAATTCTTTTTCTGCATCTATTGATATGATCAAACAATTTTTCTAGTTAGCCTATTGATGAAATAGGTTACATTAACTGATTTTAAAATGATGAACTAGCCATACATATCTAAATAAATTCTGGGTATAGATATCACCAAGGGGATTTTAACTATTATAAAAAAAATTCTAGAGCTGAAAAGAACAATAAATGAATTCAAAACTTTAAGGGATTTATTTAAAATCAGATTTGATCAGGCAAAAGAAAGAATCAGACATGAAGACTGATCATTTGAAATCATCCAGTGAGAAAAATAAAAAGATAAAAAGAATGACGAATATATATATATAAAAAAAAAACCTACTGACATCAACAAGTGGATCAATATATGTATTATTCCTATAATGAGTCTGAGAAAGAGAAGAGAGAAAGAAAGTTTATTTGGAGAAATAATGAGTACAAACTTCAGAAATCTGAGTGAACATACAAAAGAAGCTCAACAAATTCCAACCAAGAAATCCAAAGTGACTCACAAAAATTCCCATTAGCCAAAGACAAGGAGAGAATCCTGAAAGCAGCTAGACAGAATTGACTTGTCACATATAAGGGAGCTCCCATAAGATTATCAGTAGATTTCTCAGGAGAAACCTTATAGGTCAGAAGGGATTGGGATGAATACTTTTCAAGTGCTGAAAGAAACTGTCATCCAAAATTATCATTATCAGGCAAAACTGTATTTCAAAATATAATGAAGACATGAACACTTTTTCAGAAAAATAAAATTTGAGGTAATGAGCAAAAGTTAATTACCACTAGACTTGATCTATAATAAATGTTAAAACGGAGGCTGTCATGGCAAAAAGAAAGGATGCTAGATAGCAACCTAAAGCTAAAAGGAAATTATAAAGTTCTCTAATACAGGTAAATACATGGACAAGTATAGTAACATGCAGTATTGTAATTTTGGTGAATAAATTAACTTTTAAATATTGTATAGAATTGGAAGGACAAATACCAAACCAAACAAAACAAAACAAGTCCTATAATTTATGTAGTAACATAAAGTGTTGAGTAGAATTATAAAGTAGTGCTTTTGTATGTGATTGAAGTTAAGCTGTTAATAGAAATAGAAGAAATAACCCCCAAATTAATATGGAGTCTCAAGGGACCCTAAATAACCATGTCAATTTTGAAAAAAGAAGAATAGAGTTGAAGGATATACATTTCCTGATTTCAAAACATATTATAAAGCAAAGTAATCAAAACAGTATGGTACTGGCATAAAGATAGACATATATATCACTGAAATAGATTAGAGAGCCTAGAAATAAACCCTTGCATATATGGTTAAATGATCTATAAAAGGGTGCCAAGATGACATAATGCAGAAAGGACAGTCTCTTCAACAAGTATACTCAATGGAGAAAAGAGCTTTTTCAATAAATGGTGATGGGAACATTGGATATGCACATACAGAAGAATGAAGTTGGACCTGTATATTTCACCATATACAAATATTAATTCAAAATGACTTAAAAATCCAAATGTAAGACCTCAAACTATAAATCTCCTAAGAGAAAACATAGGGGGAAATCTTCATGATGTTAGGTTTGACAATGATTTCTTAGATATGATGCCAAAAGTACAGGCAACAAAAGCAAAAATGGACAAACAGGACTACACCAAACGTAAAACTTTTGTGCTTCAAAGGACATGATCAACAGAGTATAAAGGCAACCTACAAAATGAGGGAAAAAATTTGCAAATCATATATCTGGTAACAGATTAACATCCAAAATATAAAGAACTGCTAAAATCCAAGAATAAAAAAATCAAATTCATATAAACCAATTTAAAAATGGGCTAAAGACTTGAATAGACATTTCTCCAGAGAGGATATACAAAAGACTAAAAAGCATATGCAAAAATCCTCAATATTACTAATAATCATAGAAATGCAAATCAAAACCACATTGAGATATCACCACATACCCAATAGAATGGCTACCATAAAAAAAAAAAAAGGCAACCACAGAAAATAACATCTGTTGGTGAGGATGTGATGACTATAATGTGAACTGCTGATGGGATTATAAAATTACACAACCACTCTCAAAATCAGTATGATGGTTCAAAATATTAAAGATAGGATTACCATATGATCCATCAAACCCACTTTTGCATTTTTATCCAAAATGACTGAAATCAGTATCATAAAGATATATCTGCACTTCCACATTCACTGCACATTATTTATGATAGTAAGGTGTTGAAAACAGCTTAAGTGTTCATTGACAGAAGAATGGAAAAATAAAATGTCACCTATATATACACACATAGAATGGAATGTTATTCAGCCATAAAAAGAATGAAATCCTGCTATTTGCAATGACACGGATGAATCTAAATGGTACTATATTAAGAGAAATAAGCCAGACATATGAAGACAAATATTGTATGATCACCATTATATGTAGAATCAAAAATGTCAAACTCACAGAAGCAGACAGTAGAATGGTGGATGCCAGGGGCTAGAGGGTTTGGAAAATGGGGCCATGTTGGTGAAAAGGTACAAAGCTACAGATACACAAGATGAAGAGTTCTGGAGATCTGTTACACAGCAATGGAACACACATAACATTACTATAAGATCGTAAATTTCATGTTCTGTGTATTTTACCACAAAAAAACTTTTAAAAATTGTAATGTTTGAGTTTCAAAATCCAAATAAAAAATATTTTATAAAAATGTGTCAAAACAGCATGGTAAATATACTATATGTACTTTGGCTCCTTGAAGTGGATATTAACTTTCAAAACATGATATAATTACTGAATAGATGGGAGTAAAATGCATACCAGAGCAATTCCTGCAGCGAATTTTGGATTGCATGCCATTCCATGATATGTTGCTCCCACGTAATTAGGATGATCCCTATAACTAAATAACAAAATTTTTCTTGTAAATAAATGCATTTTAAATTATTAATAACTTAATGACCTTTTAAGAATTGGATTCCTCAGTAAAGAAAGCTGTTTTTGAAACTTGAATATTACATATCATATCTAATGTTTTCAATCATTTTGTATTTGGGTAATCTCCCACAATTCCTACAAAGTTAAGTTCTAAAGTCTACTTTAACATTATATGATACACAGCCCAAAACCCAGCAGTGCCTAATCCTTCCAAAACATTAATCATCACTGTTGCCACCACTAGATGGATATAATTCTAATGCGTACAGGTCAGGATAACCTACTGCCATGATTTGCACGCAGTGGTCCTTTAAGGTGTGTAAAAAATATCGGATTGGAGGACAGGGAGAGAAAAGAGAACGTGCAGTATGCTAACGAAAAGAGATAGGACACAGAAAGTGTCCTCACACATTTCAGTCCTATTAATATTGCTCCTAAGTCCCCAAATCTGACCTTAAATGCCACAGGAAACACCAATAGATGTATAAATGTATTCCATATTGCTTAAGACCTTCAGAATTGCGTTTTTATTTTTCCATGTAATCAAATTAGTCAAGCAACAAGAAGGCTTTTGAAAGATACAATACATGCAGTTATATAGCTACACCTTGTGTCCGTATATATCAGAAGGTAACCATATTACTATTTAAATGTTTTGCATTGTAACCACTTTATATGCAATTACTGCATTCTGTTAACTAATTTATATTTTATTTAATGTTAAAATGATGGTTTCAATTACTTACCTCTGAGAAAATCTTTAAAACCCTTGAGTCCCCATGTTTCTCCCGAGGCTTTCCAAATTTTCAAGTCTATTACATTTCCATGGATAAACAGTCTACTCTGTTTTAGTGTTTTAGTGTCTTACATTGTTATCAGATTTTTATATTTTGCATTTTGCTAACAGTATATGTACAATTTTTGAGGTTTCTTGTCATTATACATAACACATTTTGTATATAATTTTGATAGTTAGCAGATCATATAATTTGATAAGCCCTATATCAATGCAAAAAATGCACTCACATTAATAAATATGCCATATCATGAGATCTTTGAAACATAAATTGTTCTTTCCATGACACAAATCTTTGTAGTACTTCATCAGCATCCCCCTTAGTTGAAATCTTATTTTGATCTGACCAGAGCTCCAAAGAAGTTAGCTTCACAGTCACTTTAAGCTGGGAAAACATCTAAAAATAGAAGATACACCACATACAGGTTTAGGTAGTCATAAGTATTATATTACATCTCTATACATAATGCTAATAGATTCAATTTACTCATTTTTGGAGATGGAATCCATTGGTGGGTGAAACTAGTTGGTAGGACTATACTTTTTAATAAAATCGAAAATGTTATTTATACAACTGTTATTTATACAAGCATTAATAGGAATGTTTAATATTTAACTGAAACATAAATACTTACAATGTTGATAAGACCAAAGATATGGACAACTTTCTCAGCTGCAAATGCCACTTCAGAGCCCATGTAATCAAACTGAAAGACAAATTTTGTTTCACTACTGAAAATTACTAAAGTACCACATTTTATTTTTTTAATTATTTATTTTTAATTTAATTTTATTGTGTTATGTTAATCACCATACATTATTACATCATTAGTTTTTTAAAAATTTTTATTGTTATGTTAATCACCATACATTACACTATTAGTTTTTGATGTAGTGTTCCATGATTCATTGTTTGTGTATAACACCCAGTGCTCCATGCAGAACGTGCCCTCTTTAATACCCATCACCAGGCTAACCCATCCTCCCACCCCCTCCCCTCTAGAACAGTGTTCCATGATTCATTGTTTGCATATAACACCCAGTGCTCCATTCAATATGTGCCCTCTTTAAAGTACCACATTTTAAATGGATATAAAATGTTAAACTAAGGTGGTGCTCAGTGAAAGGAAAAAAAAAAAAAACAGAATTAAGGTTTATCAATTGCTTAGTAAGTCTTAAGTTTAAACCTAGGGAGCTTACATATTAATCAATAATATTAAAATGAGAAGGTTGTGATTATTTTCCTCTTTACACATATAAAATGGAGGTTTGAAAGGTAAGTTTCCAAGATCATATAACTACTAAAGATAAGAACCAGGACTCAAATCTCTAAGCTACTAAGTCATTTTTATCTGCTATATCATATGCCACCATTTATCTTCATTACAATAAGATAACATGACTACATATCCTGGATAAACAATGTACCATAATAATAAAAATAAATTCAAGCAATTGTCTTCATTCAAGGAGACAAAAATCACATATTTTCTCTTAAATACTTCAGTTGTATGTGTACACACATTTCTAAGTTTTTGGTGAAAACATGAAAAGTGGCAGCTTAAGAGCTTCAAAAATCTGCAGCAGGTCTGCCAAAAACTACTCACAGAAAAAAAAATGTAATGGATAGAGTTGTCTGATACAGACAAAAAAGATGTTATCCTCCTAGGTCTCTAGAAACTATTTGTACTTTGCTATTTCTCTTTTCCAATAAATCATATTGTATATTTACGCACAGTGCAGCATGTGTGGTATGAGTGAAGGTGAATAAAGGCTTATATAAAACAATGAAAGAATGTGTATATATATATATATATATATATTTTCAAACATACATGGAAGTTTTATATAAATTGACCCATATTAGGCCATTAAAGAGTTATTTGAATATAAAGCATTGTCACTTAGATCACACTGTCCAACTATAATGCAATTAAGTTATGGTAGACTTGATAAAAAGTATTTTAACAATGCTATTTTTCCTTACATGGATAACTCTATTGTGGTTATATAAGATAATGATCTTATTCTAGGTAAACGTACACTGAAAATTTACAACTTACTTTCAAATAGAGCACAAGTGATAATGGGATACTATATTAATAAATCCGAATAAAGAGAGTATAACTATTTCTTGCCTTATTCTTTTTTTATTATGTTATGTTAATCACCATACATTACATCATTAGTTTTTGATGTAGTGTTCCGTGATTCATTGTTTGCATATAACACCCAGTGCTCCATGCAGAACCTGCCCTCTTTAATACCCATCACCAGGCTAACCCATCCCCCCACACCCTCCCCTCTAGAACCCTCGGTTTGTTTTGCAGAGTCCATAGTCTCTCATGATTCATCTCCCTCTCTGATTCCACCCCCCTTGATTCTTCCCCTCCTGCTATCTTCTTCTTTTTTTTTTTTTTTAACATACAATGTATTATTTGTTTCAGAGGTACAGATCTGTGATTCAACAGTCTTACACAATTCACAGCACTCACCATAGCACAATTCTTGCAAATTTTTTGAAAGTTTGAAAATATTTCCAAATAAAATATTTAAAAAATGAAGATGAAATAAAAATGATTTTAGATGAGCAAAAGCTGAAGCAAAGTCATCAACAAGCTAAACAGAAATATCAGAAACAGACTTATAAGAAGGAAAGAAGAGCTTTGAAAATGGTAAACATGAGGGGAAAATTAAATTCTTTTTTCTTTTCCTTAATTTCTTCAAACAATTGAATATTTAAAAAATAATTTATTTTGTGGTTTATAACACATGGCAAAGTAAAATATAATAACATCACATACTGAACACTACATCTGAAACTAATGATGTACTATATGTTGGCTAATTGAATTTATATAAAAAAATTAAAAGCTGGATTTGAGACCACAGGGTGCCGAGAAATTACAAAAGAGTTTATGGCCCTTAGGTCTTGTATAAATGGATAAATTTGGTTTTAAAAAAGTCACATAGTGTTATTTTTACAATTATTTTCATTAATTTTTTATTTGAGTGTAGTTGACACAAAACGTTACATCAGTTTCAGGTGTACAGCATAGTAATTCCAAAAGTATAAACATTACCCTATGCTCACAACAAGTGTAGCTCCTATTTTTCACCATACAAAGCTATTACAATATCATTGACTCTATTTCTAATGTTATGCTGTGCCTTTTATTCCCATAACATTCATTCCATAACTGGAAGACTGTATCTCCCACTCCCTTTCACCCATTTTACCTAATCCCCAACTCCCTCCACTTTGGCAGCCATCAGTTTTTTCTCTATGTTTATGTGTCTAACTCTGCTTCTTGTTTATTTATTTATTTTTTAGATTCCACATATGAGTAAAATCATATGGTACTTGTTTTTCTCAGTCTGACTTACATCATTTAACACAATAGCCTCTAGACCCATCCATGTTGTCACAAATAGCATGACCTCATTCTATTTTATGGCTCTGTAATGAAACCACAAAGATCCCAAATAGCCAAAGCAATGTTGATCAAGAAGAACAAAGCTGGAGGTAACACAATTCCATATCTCAAGATATATTACAAAGCTGTAGTAATCAAAACAATATGGTATTGGCACAAAAGTAGACACAAAGATCAATGGAACAGAATAGAAAGCCCAGAAATAAACCCACAATTATATAGTCAGTTAATCTATGACAAAGGAGGCAAGCATATATGATGGGGAAAAGACAATCTCTTCCATAAATGATGTTGCAAAAACTGGACAGCTACAAGAAAAGAATGAAACTGGACCACTTTCTAACATCATACACAAAACTAAACTCAAAATGTAAAGATGTAAATGTGAGACATGAAACCATAAAAATCCTAGAAGAGAGCACAGGCAGTAATTCTCTGACACCCACCATAGCAACATTTTTCTAGATATTTCTTCTAAGGCAAGGGAAACAAAAGCAAAAATAAACTATTGGAACTACATCAAATGAAAAGCTTTTTGGAAAAAAAAAAAAAAAGCTTTTGCATGGTGAAAGAAATCATCAACAAACAAAAAAGAAACCTACTGAACAAAAGAAGATATCTGCAAATGCTGTATCTGTTAAGGAGTTAATATCCATATCAGGGTTAAATGGAACTTTAGTGTTATAAAGCTCTTACATTATATGTGAAGTGATATAATATTAATTCTAGTTAGGAATGTTAATTCAAACCAATAAAGAAACCACTGGGGTAAGATGTGAGGGATAAAGAGAGATCACAGAAAAAACCAATATAGGAGATAAAGATAAAAACTAAAAATAACCCACTAATCCAAGGGTAGCAAAGGAGGAACAAAAGAATAAATAACTAATAGGAAGAGTAGAACACTAAGAGCATAGCAGTACTTAACCTACATCCACAGTATTAGTAATTTTGATAAACATAAGTCAACTAAACATTCTAATGAAAAGGCAGGGATTATCTGAGTAAGGAAAAAAATAGTTTACAAAGTCATACTTTAAAATTTAAGACAGATAAACTGAACATAAAAAAGAGAGGGAATACTAATCATAGGATATAAAAGCTCTAGAGTTCTTTGTTGTTGTTTTCTCATGATGACATTTGCATTGAAAATGCCTTCTGTTTTTATTGGAAAGGAAGAAGGTATTCAGTTAAATGGAGAGAGGAAAGTAGGCTGTCTAGATTTAATTTTAGCAACCTCATGGGGGCAGCTGTGGCAGAGCATAATTTCAATGCTTGTGAGTATTATTCCCCATGTAACAACCAAAACCTAAATCTAAATGCCCCCAAAGGGCATTAGCTAGTAAAATAGATTAAATTATATTAAATACATTAATCAGACACTATGTGAATGTTAAAATTAAATTGAAATAATATATTTCATTAATATGCAGGAAAACATTATAAAATAATTTACAAAACAGCATATATAAAACAAAGGTATAAGAACATACACATACATATTCAAATATGAAAAGGAAACGTGCATATAAAATTATACGTGCTTTTTTCTTTATTATTATTTTGTCTACTTTTTCCTGCTGTTTTTATAAAAAATTATGTAAAGATCTAAATATTTCCTTTTATCAACAAAATCTAATTTTGAAAATTATGCACTTATTGACAGACCTTATGCAAAAATATCAGTAATAATGAAAAGATCAGATTTCTTAATTGCTAACCATAATGGCTTTGCTAAAACTGATTATATAAACAAAAATTTCCCTAACTGGGGCACCTGGGTGGTTCATTGGTCAACTGTCTGCGTTCAGCTCAGGTCATGATCCCGGAGTCCCAGGATGGAGCCTCGCATTGGGCTCCCTGACCAACGGGGAGTCTGCTTCTCCCTCTGCCCTCACCCAGTTCATGCTTTTTCTCTCAAATAAATAAATAAAATCTTCAAAAAATATATTCCCTAACTAAATGAACATTCCTATGAATAATTCTTCCCATTTTTAAAATATAAAATTTCCGTCAGAGAATCTAAGAGAATCCAAGAAATTATAAAGCATAAAATAATCTTATAAAAGATACTTTTTAATAACAGGAATCTCCAATTCAATAATTAAATAGCTTATTTTAAAATAAAAATTAATTTATGTAAGAGTTTCATCACTATATGGGGCGGATCCAGAAATATATGCAGCTCATTATAATTGACTAGATTATAATGTAGTAGAACTCTTCCGTACATACAAATTGTACATTTTTGCTAGAATTCTATATTGATTTTGAGATCAATACTATAAATACTGGTCCCCCCAATGCCAATGCAAAGGCAATTCACATTTCTTTATGTCCTGCTACACTTAAATACATATTTTGAACAGAATAAAATATATATGTATTTCAGACAAGTGGAATTTTCATTTTCATATTCCCTTTGAATTTAAACACAAAGCAAAGATATTATCAATATCAATAATGCATACCAAAGCTTTATCCATAATGATTTGTATTTTCAGAATTGTTTCCAATAGTTCATCTGAATCTTTCTGTAAAACAGAGGACATGAATTAAATAAAACATTTAAATAAAACATAAAAATAAAACATTCTATAAGAAAAATTCTTATATTGTTTGTTATTCTCACTCACATTATATACACACACACACACACACACACACATAGAAAGGGATAGACAGACAGATGATGATAGACAGATAGATAGATGATAGGATAGTTTGCTACGGATACATAACGATACAGATATAAGTGATAGCAAAATAAGATGATGGAGGACCCTGAAAAAATAAGCAGGTGAGATTCCAAATAAAAATTTTAGGAACAAATCAAAACTTTTATCTTATATTCTTTATAATTAGAATCCTTAAAAAAGTTAGTGAAATGAGGGAAAAGCCATGTTTCCTTTTCTCAAAACTTTCCTCTTAGACCCTCTTCCAACCTTCAAGCTAAATTAACTCTCATCACCTTTCCCCCAAATTGCCTTTAATTTCTCATTTATACTTTATTTATGTTAACTCTATCACAGTTATATAAATTGATATTAATGTATATACCAATGTAACCATTTCTATAAATAAGATAAAGAATGTTTCCATCACCCTCTTCTAAGTCGAGAGCCCACAGGACTCAAGGCAATCAATGATCTGCTCTCTCTCACCATAGGTTAGAATAATCTATTCTAGAATTTCATAAAACTGGAATCATATGTCACATACTCTTATATCTGGCTTCTTTCACTCAGCATTCATCTGTTATGTTGTGATTCTTAATAATGCATAAGTGTTTATTGCTAAGTAGTGTGTCATTTTAGAAATATATCCCAATTTGTTTTTACGTTTACCTGTTGATGATCACTTGGATTACTTAGAAATTGTAGCTATTATAAATGAAACTATGCATATTCATGTAGAGGTCTTTGTGCAATTATGTTCTTCAATTTTTCTTGGAAAATCCTTAAAAATGGAATACCTGAGTCAAATGGTAATTGTGAGTGTGTAAAGTAGGACAAAAATGCCAGATTTCTTTCTTTTTTTTATTATGTTATGTTAATCACCATACATTACATCATTAGTTTTTGATGTAGTGTTCCATGATTCATTGTTTGCATATAACACCCAGTGCTCCAAGCAGAACGTGCCCTCTTTAATACCCATCACCAGGCTAACCCATCCCCCTACCCCCTCCCCTCTAGAACCCTCAGTTTGTTTTTGAGAGTCCATAGTCTCTCATGGTTCGTCTCCCCCTCCGATTTTCCGCTCTTCATTCTTCCCCTCCTGCTATCTTCTTCTTCTTTTTTTTTCTTTTTAACATATAATGTATTATTTGTTTCAGAGGTACAGGTCTGTGATTCAACTGTCTTACACAATTCACAGCGCTCACCATAACACATACCCTCCCCATGTCTATCACCAGCCACCCCATCCCTCCCACCCCCCCACCACTCCAGCAACCCTCAGTTTGTTTCCTGAGATTAAGATTTCCTCATATCAGTGAGTTCATATGATACATGTCTTTCTCTGATTGACTTATTTCGCTCAGCATAATACCCTCCAGTTCCATCCACGTCCTTTTGGATTTCATTCCTTTTGGTGGCTGCATAATATTCCATTGTATATATATACCACCTCTTCTTTATCCATTCATCTGTTGATGGACATCTTGGCTCTTTCCATAGTTTGGCTATTGTGGACATTGTTGCTATAAACATCGGGGTGCACCTACCCCTTTGGATCCCTACATTTGTATCTTTGGGGTAAATACCCAGTAGTGCAATTGCTGGGCCATAGGGTAGCTCTATTTTCAACTTTTTGAGGAACCTCCATACTGTTCTTCGGAGTGGCTGCACCAGCTTGCATTCCCACCAACAGTGTAGGAGGGTTCCCCTTTCTCTGCATCCCCACCAACATCTGTCCTTTCCTGACTTGTTAATTTTAGCCATTCTGACTGGTGTGAGGTGATATCTCATTGAAGTTTAGATTTGGATTTCCCTGATGCCGAGCGATATTGAGCACTTTTTCATGTGTCTGTTGGCCATTTGGTTGTCTTCTTTGGAAAAATGTCTGTTCATGTCTTCTGCCCATTTCTTGATTGGATCATTTGTTCTTTGGGTGTTGAGTTTGATGAGTTCTTTATAGATTTTGGATACTAGCCCTTTATCTGATATGTCATTTGCAAATATCTTCTCCCATTCTGTCAGTTGTCTTTTGGTTTTGTTGACTGTTTCTTTTGCTGTGCAAAAGCTTCTTATCTTGATGAAGTCCCAATAGTTCATTTTTGCTCTTGCTTCCCTTGCCTTTGGCGATGTTTCTAGGAAGAAGTTGCTGCAGGTCACGTCGAAGAAGTTGCTGCCTGTGTTCTCCTTTAGGATTTTGATGGACTCCTGTCTTACATTGAGGTCTTTCAACCATTTGGAGTCTATTTTTGTGTGTGGTGTAAGGAAATGGTCCAGTTTCATTCTTCTGCATGTGGCTGTCCAATTTTCCCAACACTGTTTGTTGAAGAGACTGTCTTTTTTCCATTGGACATTCTTTCCTGCTTTGTGGAAGAGTAGTTGACCCTAGAGTTGAGGGTCCATTTCTGGGCTCTCTATTCTGTTCCATTGATCTATGTGTCTGTTTTTGTGCCAGTACCATACTGTCTTGATGATGACAGCTTTGTAATAGAGCTGGAAGTCCGGAATTGTGATGCTACCAGCTTTGCTTTTCTTTTTCAACATTCCTCTGAAAAATGCCAGATTTCTAAAACAGTGTGATCATTCTGCATTTTTACCAAGAAATAAAAAGAGTGTCAATTACTCCATATTTTTGCCTGTATTTGGTATTATAGTCTCTATCATTGTATCTGTTCCTATTGGTCGGCATTAATATCTCATTGAGGTTTTAATTTGCAGTTCCCTGATGATTAATGAATTATATTGAACATCTTTCACAGGCTTATGGCTCTTTAATTTGGTTTCTCTTAAGTTCCCTAGAAATTTTATGTTTAGCCTTGACATTTAAGTCTATGCTCTAATTCAGTTTTTCTGAATAAGGGCTAAAATTGATTTTATTTCATGTGAATATCAAGTATTTTAGCACCACTCATTGAATAGGTCATTCTTTAGTCTTTCAAAATCTTTATTAGCACCTTCATGGAAAATCAATCAGCCAATAGCATGTGGGTGTATTTCTGATCTATTCTGATCTACTGATCTATATGTTTACATTTATATCAATAACACAATATGCATCTCTATAACAGGGGTCAGCAAACTATGGCCTGAGATATGGCCACCTGTTTTATAAAAAAATATTTTATTGTAACAGAGGCATTCCCATTTGTTTATACATCCTCTATGCTGTTTTCATGCCATAAATGTTGAGTGAAGTAGCTCCAACAGACCATCTGCCCCACAAATCAAAAATATTTACACTCTGGCTCTTTAAGAAAAAAATAATGTAAGTCCTTCATCTTGTTCTTATTTTTAAAACTATGTGAGTAATTTGCATCTCTCCTTATAAAATTGAGAACAATTTCCACAAAAATGTTTTCTGGAATTTTGATTGGGATTACACTGAATCTACAGATCCATTTGAGGAAAATAAATATTTTAACCATATAAATTTCTTTATTTCTTGTGACCTTGCTAGACTTTCTTATTAGTACTGATAACTTTGGTGGAGATTGTTTAATGTTTTCTATGTACCGAGTTAGGTCACTAAAATAAAGCACATTATTTTTCTTTCAAAACAGTATGCCCTTTATTATTCTTTCTCCTATTGAACTCTCTAGGAACTCTAGGAAAAAAAGTTGGCTAGAAATAGTGAGGGCAGACAGCCTTGCACTATTTCTAATCTGACGGACTATTTTAGTCAGTTCAGGCTCTAATAAATATGCCATAAATGAGGTGGCTTAAACAATGTACACTTACTTCTCACAGTTCTGGAGGCTAGGAAGTTTAAGATCAAGGTGCCAGCAGATGTGGCATCTGCTGAGAGCACTCTTCCTACTTTGCAGATGGCTGTTTTCCTTTTACATGCTCATGTGAGGGGGCACAGAGAGATCAAGGAAGTTTCCTACATCCTAGTTTTTATCATGAATGGGTGTTGAGTTTGACCAAATGATATTTTTGGAACTATCAATATGGTCCCGTGGTTTTCTACATAAATCTGTTAAATTGTTTCATTCCTGTTTTGCTGTACTGGTTTAAAGCATAGTGCCTCAAAGTCCCATACATACTATAGTCTCAAAATTCTTGAAAAAGTACAAATGGTTTTATACTATAATGGCAACTTGACTAGATAAAAAATTGTTGGGATTTTTATGCCATCCAGAGAAGCCGTTCTATACACCCTACATATACATTATGCACTATCTTATAAGCACTTCATTTGGCAAAGGCTAAGGCCAGTCTGTTTCCCTACTTTTATGGGTGACTTTGAGGCCAAGATGCCTTTAAGATAGTTCCTTATTTATAAAGTCTAATATATTAATCATATTATATCTCAATGTTGCCAGTTTTTTATTAGGGTTTCTTAAGAATTTTTTTTTTAATTCAGGACTTTTTTTTTTTCAAAAAAATTATTCTTTAATAATGTGGAATATCTTGGGTGCTATTTTATTCATTAATGACATTTTTATTATCTTGAATTGCCATTATCAGTCTTTCATGCTCAGTTATTCAGGGTTCCCCAGAAAAACAGGACCAGTAGGATGTGTATGATTGTTTCTTATAATTAGATTTATTATAAGGAATTGAATCACATGATTATGGAGGTTAGCAAGTTCAAAACCTGGAAAGAAAAGGCCAGTAGGCTGGAAACCCAGTGAGAATTAATGTTGTACTTCAGGTCTAGAAACCATCAGATTAGAGATGCAGGGTGAGCTGATGCTACAGTTTCAGTATAAAGGTAATCATCTGGAGAATCCTGTCTTATTAAAGAGTTGGTCAATCCATTTGTTTCATTGAGGACTTCACCTGATTGCATGAGGCCCATCCACATTATGGAGGACAATTTGCTTTACTCAAAGTTCACTGATTTAGATTTT